AGCAATGCATTATGTAAAGAGTGTAGGATTCAGGAATGTGTTTGCGTACAGAGTGCAGGATTCAGAAATGCATTATGTGCAGAGTGCAGGATTCAGGAATGCATTACGTACAGAGTGCAGGATTCAGGAGTGCATTATGTACAGAGTGCAGGATTCAGGAATGCATTATGTACAGAGAGCAGGATTCTGGAATGTGTTATGTACAGAGTGCAGGATTCAGGAATGCATTATGTACAGAGTGCAGGATTCAGGAATGTGCTACGCACGGAGTGCAGGAGCCAGGAATGCATTACGCACAGAGAGTGCAGTATTCAGGAAGGCGTTATGCACAGAGTGCAGGATTCAGGAATGTGCTACGCACGGAGTGCAGGACTCAGGAATACATTATGCACAGAGTGCAGGATTCAGGAATGCATTACGTACAGAGTGCAGGATCCAGGAATGTGTTACCTACAGAGTGCAGGATTTAGGAATGCATTATGTACAGAGTGCAGGATTCAGGAATGCATTACATACAGAGTGCAGGATTCAGGAATGCATTACGTACAGAGTGTAGGATTCAGGAATGCAATTTTACAGAGTGCAGAATTCAGGAATGTGTTACGTACAGAGTGTAGGATTCAGTAATGCATTATTTACAGAGCGCAGGATTCAGGAATGTGTTACGTACAGAGTGCAGGATTCAGGAATGCATTATGTACAGAGTGCAGGATTCAGGAATGCATTATGTACAGAGTGCTGGATTCAGGAATGCATTACGTACAGAGTGCAGGATTCAGAAATGTGTTACGTACAGAGTGCAGGATTCAGAAATGCATTATGTACAGAGTGCAGGATTCAAGAATGTGTTACGTACAGTGTGCAGGATTCAGGAATGTGTTACGTACAGAGTGCAGGATTCAGGAATGCATTATGCACAGAGTGCAGTATTCAGGAATGTGTTTCATACAGAGTGCAGGATTCAGAAATGTGTTTCATACAGAGTGCAGGATTCAGGAATGCATTATGTACAGAGTGCAGGATTCAAGAATGCATTAGGTACAGAGTGCAGGATTCAGGAATGTGTTTATACAGAGTGCAGGATTCAGTAATGTGTTACGTACAGAATGCAGGATTCAGCAATGCATTATGTAAAGAGTGTAGGATTCAGGAATGTGTTGCGTACAGAGTGCAGGATTCAGAAATGCATTATGTGCAGAGTGCAGGATTCAGGAATGCATTACGTACAGAGTGCAGGATTCAGGAGTGCATTATGTACAGAGTGCAGGATTCAGGAATGCATTATGTACAGAGAGCAGGATTCTGGAATGTGTTATGTACAGAGTGCAGGATTCAGGAATGCATTATGTACAGAGTGCAGGATTCAGGAATGTGCTACGCACGGAGTGCAGGATTCAGGAATGCATTACGCACAGAGTGCAGTATTCAGGAAGGCGTTATGCACAGAGTGCAGGATTCAGGAATGTGCTACGCACGGAGTGCAGGACTCAGGAATACATTACGCACAGAGTGCAGGATTCAGGAATGCATTACGTACAGAGTGCAGGATTCAGGAATGCATTATGCAGAGTGCAGGATTCAGGAATGTGTTACGTACAGAGTGCAGGATTCAGGAATGTATTATGCAGAGTGCAGGATTCAGGAATGTGTTACGTACAGAGTGCAGGATTCAGAAATGTGTTACGTACAGAGTGCAGGATTCAGAAATGTGTTACATACAGAGTGCAGGATTCAGGAATGCATTATGTACAGAGTGCAGGATTCAGGGATATATTATGTACAGAGTGCAGGATTCAGGGATATGTTATGTACAGTGTGCAGGATTCAGGAATGCATTATGTACAGAGTGCAGGATTAAGGAATGCATTATGTACAGAGTGCAGGATTCTGGAATGTGTTATGTACAGAGTGCAGGATTCAGGAACATTATGTACAGAGTTCAGGATTCAGAATGCATTATGCACAGAGTTCAGGATTCGGGAATGCATTATGCACAGAGTTCAGGATTCAGTAATGCATTATATACAGAGTTCAGGATTCGGGAATGCATTATGTACAGAGTTCAGGATTCAGGAATGCATTATGTACAGAGTGCAGGATTCAGGAATGTATTATCTACAGAGTTCAGGATTCAGGAATGCATTATGTACAGAGTGCAGGAATCAGGAATGCATTATGTACAGAGTTCAGGATCAGGAATGCATTATGTACAGAGTTCAGGATTCAGAAATGCATTATGTACAGAGTGCAGGATTCAGTAATGTGTTCTGTACAGAGTGCAAGGTTCAGGAGTTAGTTAAACCGCAAAGACATCAGTTAATTAAACATACCACACTTATGTTCTAAAATCTTTCTTAACAGTATACAAGAGCCCAGGTAAGAATGTAGGCATCAGATGGAGAACAAATGAGAGCAAGATACGGCTGCAATGAGAGAGAGTGCAGCTGTCATGTCCAACCTGTGATGCTGGGGATAGCCGAGGCCGATATGTGTTTTAGGGGCTTCGCCCACATTATCAAAAACCACCCATTTATAGGGAAACATCTGGCATTTATACATTGCCAGTTGGGAAAAAGGTGGCATGGTGCAGGACCAATTGGAACTACTATATGTGCACCTGCAGTGGTTTATAATTCAGTTTCACATGTAGTAGTTCCAATTAGTCCTGCCCCTTGCCACCTGTTTCCCTAGCCAGCAATGTGCAAATTCTGATTGCTTGTCTATGCACTGGTTGCTTGACAAATGGGGTGGAGCCCCTGAAATGCTTATCGGCCCCACTATCGCTGACATCACAGGTTGAAGTTGACAACTGTAGTCTCTCTAATTGCGGCTGCATGCCCCCCCTGACTTGCCTGCCAATCCCTGGCTGTGCTAGATGTTCACACTGTTCACACTGCTGCAGGTCCTGCTCCGCTGGAAGTTAGCATATAAAGAATAGAGTAATGCGTGAGAAAGTCCCTGTACAGCAGGACCTGAAGGACAAAAGGTGAAAATGCAGTAAAGTCCCACCCAACTCGGGACTGTTGGGAGATATGTACTCTCTAGTCTCATAGATTATGTGTAATGTTTGTAATAAAATTCATAGATGGTAACATTATGACCTGTACAAAAGAGCACTGTTACTAGATGACACTAAATGACATCCTTTTTCTCCAAATATGATCTGTGTAATCATTTCTTACTGTGTTCTTCTGCCTCCTTGTGTCGTCTGTGAGTTCCCAAACCTCTCCTTTTCCCCCCTTACCTCCATTTTTTTGAATGATCAGTGCATGTTAGTTGAGGTCATGTACACAATTCAATTCCTATATTCTACAGTTCATAGTCCTTAGTTCATCTCGGGAACAAATAGGCATTGTTGGCTCCTACATACAATGGGACCATAGAGAACTAACAGGAAGTGGGATAACAGCAACAAAAAAAGAAATTTGAACATTTGGAGGAGGCTGAGAGTAAATTAAGGTATTTTTTAGAGAAACATAACATAAATACAAAAAATATTTTTTTAAGAAAAAAAATGCACTGTGATGTTGTTATATGCACTTTATTTAAAGAAGAAGTACAACCAAAGCTTTTTTGGCTGTACTTCTGGAGATCACAGGTGTGCAGATCGTTCTGCACTCCTGTGATAAGTTTTCAATCGACAGTGAGCTGAAGAAGTCTGTTGTTGGCTGACATCACAGAGCCACTTTAGGCTCTGAAAATATCCTGACCATATGCCTGGACCTGCAGCTGTCTCAGCCTCTCAGAGATTCACTGAGAGCCTGATCCAGCCCCTCCCACCGCCTCCACAGCCCATCACTCCAGTGAGTGCTGGAGGGGCAGAGAAGACTGAAAGTCCCTGCTCTGTGCTCAGACAAGAGGGGAGAATTGAGCGATCAGCAGTGTTTCAGAGTGAGGGACAGATGCAGCATTGGATTAATACTGCATCCACCTAGATTAGTATGGGGGCAAAACGCCTATACTGGGGAGGGAAGTCTGAGCTCTCCACTGAAGAGGGGGAGAGGTCTGTACTTGTGGGGGGAGAGTAGTCTTTACTGAGGTGGGGGAGGGATGACTAAAGGATATTTGGGGGGTGATCTATATTAGGGGTGATTTTGAGGGAGAGCTCTGTACTGTTGGGATTTTGGGAGAGAGAGAGACCTCTGTAATGGGATGGATTGTGTGTGTGTGTGTGTGTGTGTGTGGGGGGGGGGGGTGTATCTGTTCTGGGCTAATTTTTTGTTCTACTGTGTACACTGACTTGTGATATATTCCTGACCCTATGCACTGAGCAGTGCACTCCTAGCACCTGCACTCTGTGCATTACTCACTGCTGACCCCTGCACTCTATGTGATACACACTCCTGACCCCTGTACTCCATATGCCGCACACTCCTGACCCCTGCATGTGTTACACACTTACAATCCCTTCCATTTGTGCACAGCATACTCCAGCATACTCCTGATCATGAAGTGGGCATGGGTGTCCCTGGAATCCTTATATAAACCAAGGGTGTAGTTTACTGCCATTGACCATTGATGTTAGAGCATGTTTTACTCCCACTGACATCAAACTTTTTGGCATTTTTACTCCCACATAACTCTAATGCTGGGACATATTGCTTGCTCCTACAGACCACCACTCAGCTTTCAAAAACAGTGTGATGGCCAGTACACTGGCCTTTTGTTTAAAATATGTGTGGATTCCTGTCCTAATGATCACTCCAAAGATGCTATGGTAACAGATATTGATGCAAGAGTGGTGAATATTTCAAGATGGGCAACTTTGCACTTAAACATGTCCAACAGCAGTGGTACGGGTGTGGAAAACCAATATAGTGTTAGGAAGATTTACCCTCACTTCAGGAGAGGAAGGAACTTTAGGCATTGGAGCCAAACACAACCAGCTGGTCCTGTCATACATGGTTTCCTGTAGGATAAAAATGCAGGGGTATTGAATTAAAATTCAAGGAGGTTCAGTCACTAAAATTTTCTTCTGGTTGAGGTCCGAATAGGGTCCATCAGCATGCCCCCTTACATTACATGTCGCCATCAAGGTGCAACTTTACATCATGTATTCCCATCACATCAGGTGTGCCTATCAGAGTGCTCCTTTACATCAGGTATCCCCATCACATTGCCACCTTACATCAGGTATTCCCGTCAGAGTGCCCCCTTACACTCAAAGTATCCCTTTCTATCATATTCCCCATCAGAGTGCCCCTTTCCTTCACATGTGCCCACCAGAGTGCCCCTTTCCACAATATGTGCCATTTGTGCCCCCTTAACATAAAATGGGCCCGTCAGAGTGCCCCTTAACATAAAATGTGCTCATCAGAGTGCCCTTTAACATAAAATAAGGGGCATGCTGAAGGGCACATTTTATGTTATGGGGCACTTTGATGGTCACATTTATATTAAGGGGCACTCTGATGGGGCACATTCTATGCTGTGTCCATCAGAGTGCACCGTAACATAAAATGGACCCCTCGGAGTGTCCATTAACATAAAATGTGCTCATCAGAGTGCCCCTTAATATAAATGTGCCCATCAGAGTGCCCTTTAACATAAAACGTGCCCATCAGCATGCCCCTTAGTTTATGTTAAGGGGCACTCTGATGAGCACATTCTATGTTACGGGCACTCTGATGGATACATGTTATGTTAAGGGGCACTCTGATGGGCACATTCTATGTTTTGCCCATCAGCGTGCACCTTAACATAAAATGGGCCCGTGTGTCCCTTAAGATAAAATAAGGGGCATGCTGATGGACACATTTTATGTTAAGGGACACTCTGATTAGCACATTTATATTAAGGGGTACTCTGATGGGCACATTATGTTAAGTGGAACTCTGATGGGCACATTCTATGTTGTGCCCATCAGAGTGCCCCTTAACATTCATTGTGCCCATCAGAGTGCCCCTGTAAGACTACACCCTACCTTGAGGGCAGACAGGAGCTGTGACGGGATCCTTGCTGGACACTTGTGTACAGGCAGGGAGTGGGAACCGGAGAGACAGTGAGCTGAAAGGGGCGGGGTGCACACATGATATCATGTTGCCATGAGGATCACCCTGCTCAGCGGTGGATCTGTCATTATGGGCTGGTGGGCTGGTGGTCCAGGTGGCAGCACTGCTGGGGCTGTTCGCGGACCACGGTCCGCCATTTAGTTACCGCTGGTATAAAGCGTACCATGGTAATTGGTGGCTATTAGGAAATGTGACTGTTGCCTTAAAGATTACAGTTTATTGCAACACACCATTTCACATATACTGTATATGCTAAAAAGGGGATTGTATGGTATGGGTTGTAAACGAGGAATTACTTTGAGCTGAACTAGATGACTGCTGCTCCTGCTCTGGGAAAATGATTTGGATTCGCCTAACTGTAAAGTTATGGCACCGTGACAAACGCATCTTTTAATTCAAGTTCCTTTTGACAAATGAGCACAAAACATTGCACAGTTTTGCAGTCTTGTAGCATTGACTTAATTGTTATCCATTCATTCAGTTTCATGACATCTCAGAGTCACATGTTGATGCTTGAAGACTTCTCTCTGCCAAAAGCTACGATTACAGGTCAGAACATGGATTAGATAGCTATATAACACACAGCAGCTGTCATTAGCAGTGGGTCCTGCTCTGATTGAGGTCTAAAGGAGAGACTATCTCTACTCAGGGTGAACAACCCGATATATATATATATATATATATATATATATATATATATATTATATTATTTTATCTATGCAGGCAGAAAAATGTCTCCTAGCACAGACCCTTGCTTCTCACTATCTGTGATGGGATTGAAACAGAACAAAAAAATCTCCTCTATGGGGATACAGACATTTATTATAACAGAAAGATCTCAGGCAACACATATTCCAAACCTTCCACTCTCTATCCAATACAAAAATTTGTTTTAAGGCACACTCTTCCTATTTATGCATGCTGGGAGCAAAGTTTATCTTGACCTTTAGCCAGGATGTCTTGAAACCTCTACAAGACCAGTAACATTTTGATGCAGTGATCTCAAACTAAAATTGTGGATGCCGCTCAGGCATCCAATGATCCAATCAATAAAGCCAACCACTGTGAGTGCAGGCTAGGACAGAGCATGTCCTGGCTCCAGACAGCAATGTACAGGGAAGAAAATGTCCATATGAGCCGCACATCTCTACAAACCCCAGGTAAGAAAGTGTAATAGCCTAAAGCTCTGGCTCCAACCAGGCCACTCACTCAACACGTTTCACTTCACCCGTAGAGCTTTATCATGGGGAGCACTTTCTTACCTGGGGTTTTCAGAGATGTGCAGCTCATATGGACATTTTCTTCCCTGAATATTTAGATGCAGCCTGCATGGGGGGAAATAACAGTCATCCACATTTTTCCTTGGTGGGTTGGTTTCTTCTACATTCCAAAACACATCCTTTCACATCAGTTGGTTTCCTCACAAAAGGACCCTAATAAGTATATGTATGTATGGCAAGAACATTCAAATGTGACCTCCTTTGAAACACACTCATGACTTGTTTTATGTTCTTTACAGAGTTACATATCATATTTTGGTGCTATATGAATGTAGGAAATAAATACATAAATTCTCAGCAATCCAGGCATAACTATAACTCTAGTGCCAGTAACAGTTGTTAACAAAGGTGGGTCCTAAAATGAAGCATCTGTCTTCAAGCCATCTACACTTTGCAGACGTAATATTTTATTATTGCACAATGCAAATATGTACCCCAAGAAATTGCCGGGAATATTTAATCCCATAAAATGTCATAATGTTTCAAATCTCCTCCAAGGAACTAAACATGTATAATATACTGTATACTTTAAAAGGATGCATTGTCTCAAAATTCTGTTTTGTTTTTTTTTGGTTTGTTTCTACAAAAAATATAAAAAAAACCTTTAAAATAGAAAAGCATAAGAAAAGCAGTTAAGCACTGTGTTTATGATGTATTATGCATGTGTGCTTTTTGACTGCGCATTTTCATGTTTTTTGTGCAGCATACGCTTTTACAAAATGATGTTGCTTCAGTTGAAGACTGTTTGCCTAACATCTGCAAAACAATAGACAGAGGATTAAATTGTTATGGAAATGTTATGCAGGGCTAAGTAATCATTATTGCTCATTTTAATGACAATTCAGAGAAGTACATATGGCGTCAACATGTGGCAAACGTTCAACAATTACTGTTTATTTTGCAGGGCTGTTATGTGCCAACAATAAAACTGAAATCTCTTAAAAATGTGCTTATTGACCAGTATACCATACATCCCCAGTTATATATTATACATCTATATCCCAACATATATACAAAGCGGTCCTTATCTAACAGTATATAATGTAGACTCTAGCATGTAATGTAAACTAGAGGTGTCTTTTTTTTTTTGTGTACCTGTTCCTGAACATGGTAATTATTTTTTTTCTCGCTACACCTGCCCCTTTGTGCAGTATGTCGAAGCAAACAGGATGCTCCATTTTAGAAACTGTCATAGTCAAGACATACATTATTGCACATGTGCCATCTGAGCAGACATGGGCAGTGTTGACCTACACACATAGTTCTCCTTCTAAAGTAATGTTACTCTGCATTTGCTGGATGACTAGATATGTTGCTATATATGTACTAGAAAAACACTCACTGACCACTTTGTTAGGTACACTTGTTCAATTGCTTGTTAATACAAATTTCTAATCTGCCAATCACATGGGAGCAACTCAATGCAGTTAGGCATCTAGATGTGGTGAAGACAACCTGCTGAAGTTCAAACTGAGCATCAGAATGGGGAAGAAAGCGGATTTAAGTGTGACTTTGAACATGGCATGGTTGTTGGTGCCAGGTGGACTGGTCTAAGTATTTCAAAAACTGCTGATCTACTGGGATTTTCACGCACAACCATCTCTATGGTTTACAGAGAATGGTCCAAAAAAGAGAAAATATCCAGTGAGCAGCAGTTGTGTGGACGAAAATGCCTTGTTGATGTTAAAGGTCAGAGGAGAATGGGCAAATGAATAAAAGGCAACAGTAATTCATATAAAAATGGACCAAAATCTCTGAGAAATGTTTCCAACGCCTTGTTGAATCTATGCTATGAAGAATTAAGGCAGTTCTGAAGGCAAAAGGGGGTCCAACCCAGTACTAGCAAGGTGTACCTAATAAAGTAGTAGGTGAGTGTATATGCAATATTGGCAAGCAGGCAACATTCTCTACTCTCAGACTGTTTTATGCAGGAATTATTCCTAAATTTAGTTGGCATGACTGTAACCATTCAGTGCTAACTTGAAGTTTTCTTTTGCTCAGTACAGTCTTGCTGTCCATTCTCTCTTCTGAAACTAGGTGTCCCTGGCACCTCTGGCACTGGTAGGAGTATTCACTGTAAGTCTACATTGTGAATATGTATATCTTTTCAGCCAAACACTAGGAGTTACGTGTGTCAGTGGTGCATGCTGAGTAAGGGTATAAATATTTGTAAATTGCTGCAAATTGCTGCAAGCCCAGGCTCCAGCCAGGAGGGGAGGGTACATGCGATGGAGCTGCTCATTCAGGCTTTAATTAGATTCTGGATTAGATTCTGGGTTTGCCTTCCTGTAGAAACCTGTATTAAAGAAGAGCTTAAAGTTTCTCCTGAAGAGTGTGGAGTCCCAGGTAAAATTGGTAGATTCCCCTGGAGGACCCTCTTGAAGATTCTAATGTATAGCTCAGGATGGGAGTCTCAGGTGATGCTGGTATATTCTCCTGAAGATAACAATGACTGCTAAAAAAAGACTTTAACATTGGAGTGTTAGTATTGAAATGGAAAGCTTCCTTCTATGTTTAAATATGGGCAATGCCAGGGTTCTACTTTAACCTAGAACATCTATATATACACCTTTTTCTCCTTGAACTGAGAGTAATAAAAGCTATATTTTCTATTTTTATATAAAGGTGTCTAGTGGCCAATCCCACAATCAAAGCCAGCACTCCCCACCCCAAGAAATTGAATGTCAGCTGTCTGCACATCCCTGGAGGGTGTTCTTGCCCGGGAGGGGGCCAGGGTGGGGGCACTGCACTCTATTACTGCACACATGTAATTGTGCATGAAACATAAAAGCTGACATTGGAAGTAGTTGGTGGTATGCACATTTCTCTATCTAAAGTAAAGGATGGCTGAAATAGTGTTACTGTGGCTGCCTTGACATGTACAGTATTGAAAAGCAGACAAAATCCTTCATCCTGGAACTGTTTTGCTGCATTATTACACATGCACCAATGCATTACTGTGCATTTGCTGTCTTAGTGGACATAGGCAGTAGTGGTCAACATGCACAATACTCCATCTTGAAGGCACTTCACTTTCAGA